TAGCTTTGATTATTTGTGACTTGCAGTGTAGGGTTCATTTTGAAGCTCATTTTTATATTACTTGTAAGTGTAAAGGAGATGATAATTTGGTTATTGATATTGCTCAAAGAGTCTAATAACATTTATTTTTTCTTAAAAAAAAACAAAAAAAAACAGGTTGAATGCGGTTCCCAGTTTTCAGTGGCCTTATCCATGTCTGGTTCTGTATACACTTGGGGCAAAGGGGACTATCATAGATTAGGTCATGGCACTGATGATCATGTGAGAAGGCCTCGTAAGGTTACAGCTTTGCAGGGGAAGAAGGTTATCAGCATTGCTACAGGTAAGATCTCTCTTCTTTGTGATTTATTTGTGACTCTTTCAATCTTAAATTAATATGCCAGGAAGTGGTAGTTTCCCACACACTACAAGATGTTTGCAAGGGCAGTGGACAATTTCACAAATATATGTGTACAAAATGAATTTTTTAGTGATGTATGAAGATATGATAAATACAGTTCTAGATATTGAAGACAAGAAGTTACTCTGTGTTTATGCAAGCTCTTAAATTGTGAATTACTCTACAGGATCACTTCATTGTGTATGCTGCACTAGTGAAGGTGAGGTCTACACATGGGGAGATAATGATGAGGGCCAGCTTGGTGACAGTACAACTAATGCTATACAGAGACCTCGACTTGTCATGGCTCTACAGGTATAAGAGAAGTCAGATCATACATTTAGGGACTGTATATGAAGATGACGTTTGGAAATCTGAAACTCATGAATTTACTTAACTTAGTGTACACAAACCTGAGATAGGATCATTATTTCAATGTTCTTTCAATCTGCAGGGTAAGAAGATCAACCGTGTTGCTTGTGGATCAGCACACACTTTAGCTTGGAGCACCAGTAGGGCAGTTAGTACAGGACGTTTGCCTTCGCAAGTCCCTCTGGAGTATGACCTTCTCAAGGAAATTCCTCTCCATTCCCTGAGGAACAGATTGGTAAGTTTTTATATCATAATAAAGTGAAGTGATGAAATATAAGATTTCCAAGATTTTATTCCATGCCAAAAATATCAAGTTTCTTTACAATATTAAAAGGTGAAAGAGCTAATTGTTTTTACTAGTTATATGTTTTTGTATTTCTCTAATAGTATATTGTAAATAGCTAGAATTTTGCTGTTACTAAGATTATCAGAAAAGAAAGAACAGTATTGCACATATATACTTTGGCTCTGAAGATGTTAGATCAAGCTTTCTTCTCACAGGTCCTGCTGCACCATTTCTCTGACTTGGTGTGTCAGAGCATTTCAATGTTTGACCTTTGTGAAACCTCAGAAGAGGAAGAAGGGCCAAAAGTTGACAGGTTAAGAGCCATAATTGTATCCAGTGCAAAGGAAACGGCTTTCAAGAAGGCAGGTTTTATTTAGATGTACAGTCCATTTACAGTTGTGAATACCCATATTTACTTTCCTGAGTAGTACCTAGAAGAGAATGATAAACTATACACATATTTGTATTTTCTGAAGTTCACCATTATATGACAAAAATGCATTCCAGGTTGTGCAAGCCACAATGGTAAGGGATCGTCAGCATGGACCCATTGTTGAGCTGAACCGCATTAGTGTCAAGAGGTCGCGCTCTAGGGGTGGTCTGGCTGGCCCAGATGGCATGAAGTCTGTGTTTGGGCAAATGGTGGCCAAAATGTCTCTCATGTCACCAGACGCCTTGTTCTTGCCACATCGTGTCTGGAAGGTTAAATTTGTTGGTGAGTAAAAGCTGTGACATTCTTACAAAATTTAATGTTATTATTGTTATGTATATTATTAATTTATTTATGTAATATTTTTATCATACACAAACCCATTTAAGTGTATTATAGGATTTGGGATGTACTTGCCCTTGTTTGCTTGTGCTACTAAAAGATTCATCTTTCCAGGTGAGAGTGTGGATGACTGTGGTGGTGGATACAGTGAAAGTGTAGCTGAGATGTGTGACGAGTTGATGAATGGGTCATTGCCACTTCTTATCCCCACGCCTAACGGACGAGATGAAGCCGGAACCTCACGCGATTGTTTCCTTATGAATCCCCAGGCTAATTCTCAACATCATATGAACATGTTTACTTTCTTGGGTAGGTATCATTGCCTAGTGATTTTATCTCCATTTTCGTTTTCAATGTATAAAAGCAAAGAGAGGAGTTCTGACTTTCTTTATCAGCAATATACCATATATAATGAGATTGAGATATTCAGTAGGTAATAAAAAAAAAAAGATTCAATGTGGAATTTGATGCTCTTTGAATTGCAAGTATATTTTGTTTCCTAATGCTATAAAATTTGTTCCTCATAGGAGTATTGATGGGCATTGCCATCAGAACAGGAAGCCCACTCAGCCTCAACTTAGCAGAACCTGTTTGGAAACAACTGGCTGGGATGGCATTGACCCCAGCTGACATCACTGAGGTCTGTGGTTGTTGCACATTTGACATGATCTAGTTAAATGTGATGTGTTTAGGTTGTGTTAATAGCTGCTTTATATTCATAACAATGGGTCCTTGCGAAACGTTGATATGAAATATAGAAATGATCTAGAAATGTTTAGCTTTAATATGGCAGCAGCAGCATTATTGTACTTGAGTTTATAATAATTTATTTGAACACAATGCCCATGGGAAAATGTTGTGTTCCATTTAGTATTGTTTTGTTAATTGCCTCTGCACATAGATGGCTCTGTCAGTGCTTAGCCACAAAGGTGTCAATTAGTAGATCTTGTTACCTCACCTTTCTTGTATTTAGCAGGTAAAACGCTTCTCTTACTATTGCTATAAATATGATACGGTTACTTTTATTACAAACATTCTAATTACTATAGTGTTATTGACATTACTAACCGCAGTATTAAATACTAGAAAATATGGAAAGTCAAGGAAAAGGGTAAACAGGTGATACAGGTACTTCTTGTAATTGTGGTTAATGAATATCAAGTGTTTGTACTGTATCAGTCAAATATGTTCTGCTGCCAAAGTTTTACCTTCTCACAATAACATCCAACAAAACAACTTCCAGGTTGATCGCCATTACGTACCTGGGTTGATGTGCGTCCAACAAATGGAAGGTGACGAGAAAACTTTTACCAGTCTTGATCTACCTTTCACCACCACCTCAGCTGCTGGTAATGAAGTGCCATTATCCAGTCGACACTTACGGATCACAATGTCTAACAGACATGAGTATGTTCGTCTTGCACTCAATTACAGGTGAGTTTATATCTTCTCTTTTTCCTTTTTTTGCTTTTGCTTGTTTCGACAATTAAGATGATAGCTTATGCTTTATGGTAAAAATTTCTTATCATGTCTGGTACTAGAATATATTTGTATGAAACATTTTTGTGATTCATTAAGTGTTATGAAAAAAATAGTCTTAACCATTTCTCTACCCTTCTCTTGTCTACCATGAACAGACTTCATGAATTTGATGCACAAATAGCAGCAGTTCGTGCAGGCATAGCCAGAGTGGTACCTGTACCCCTTCTGTCTCTATTTACACCCTATGAACTTGAAACAATGGTGTGTGGCTCTCCAGATATTCCCCTAAATCTTCTAAAGAGTGTCGCAACATATAAAGGTGGGTAATGTGGATAATCTGAATTGGTAATTTTTTCTTTTCTTTTGAGCCATCAGTATAGTACCAAACTATATAGACCAGAAAAATGGGTTTGAATTGAAAGGTTGAATTATATGTTAATTATCATATCATGTTAATCATAATGATCACAATCTTATATAATGATGATAAACAAACATAGACATAAGTGAATTAAAAAAATACATAGTTAGTCTTATCATTTTCCTTTTTTTATCCATTAAAGGTGTGGAAGCAACAGCACCTCTAGTCCAATGGTTTTGGGAGGTAATGGAAGAATTCAGCACAGCTGAACGATCTCTTTTCCTTCGTTTTGTGTGGGGCAGGACACGTCTTCCTCGTACCATTGCTGACTTCCGAGGACGAGACTTTGTGTTCCAGGTAAAGATTTGAAAGATATGGTAGTTCTTTTATCTACTTCATTTCATTTCATTAACCTCACTAGTGTAGTGGGATTGCAACCAGACAGGTGCTAGAGTTGCAGGTTTTAAAAACCAAAGAATTTTAGGATATATAATACTGATGCTGATACAACTTACAGAGCACAAACCTAGCTCAGGTTTACCAGACTTCTCTGTCATTCATTCAGTCAGTCAATAGGGGCTAAAGCCAAGGAAGGCATATTGTTGCACTGCCAGACTATGTAAAGCACTGGGTGACTTCAATGACTTAACTACAACCATAGACCCTAAAACTCTAGGATCTTGCTCTTGGTCCAGGAAATCTCTAAGCCAAAGAGCTTCACTTCACTGCTAAAATACATTTAGGGCTGCCACAAGGGTCTCTAGATACACAGACAGGATAATAGCTTAAACAGAAAAGTCATGGCCTTTAACCATTATCCTACATTGGCTTGGCATGATGATTTTGTTTAGTAATCAGACCTTGCAAGTATTTAAGAGTGTTAGTGCAGGGACACATTCTTGCCTCTTTCCTGAAGTCACAGGAGCATTTTCAGATGACACAGCCTGCTGTGGATTTGCCAGGAGAAAACTGAATAGCTCTGGTCTTTTGTGTCTCAGCAGGTGGTTTCTGATATGTCTTAAGAGGACGAGAACCTTGCCATAATACTGTAATTCCTTCATGGTTGCTACAATCCCAGCAGTTCCCTTTCTCTTCTATAAGTGAATGACCCACACTCCTCACAAATTAAGGGAATGTTATCAGTTTCAGACTGACAGATGGTAGTTAAGATGGCATGTAATTTCCATGTCAAATGGTAAGACATTTTCTCAGTAATGGGAGTTGATCAGGCACTGGGACATGAAAGCACCTTTCTCCAAGCAAAGTGTTGATGCTTCACCCTGATACAACTGTTCAAAATATATGCTAAAAATAGATGCTTAGTGAACTGCAGTCACTTGTGGGGAGAATATGCATTGAATTTTCTTAGCACATGGTTGAACTAGGTGAGGGTCATTTGCTAGGAATTTGCATATAACCATCTCGGTAAACTTCTTGATATACTGTTGATTGTCCCTTCTTACCAATGTTTGTCTTACACCCAAGGATTTACACAATTCCAGATATTCAGATATTGTTCCAGTGGTAAAAATTCACTGTATTACAATTGAAAAGAAAATAATGGATAAAGCAAAAAATAAAGTCATTGTCCCTAAACTGTCAGACCAGTGAATGCTTGAATTGAGGTTCAGCATATAAATGTATATTCTGCTGACTGTAAACAGTTGATTTTAATTGTTTATTTTTTGTCTTTTTCAGGTGTTGGATAAGTATACTCCACCTGACCATTTCCTGCCAGAGTCATATACATGCTTTTTCCTCCTGAAAATGCCACGATATTCTTGCAAGGTGCTTTTCTAAAGAACATTTTCTCTCTAAATGTAAAAGTTCTGTTTTCAAAACCTTATGGCTATATGATGTATCAACCATGTATGTCTTACAACATAGTCTTTAATGTTCCAATGATTTCCTTTCAGGCTGTTCTTCGTGAGAAATTGAAATATGCTATTCATTTCTGCAAGAGTATTGATACAGATGACTATGCTAGAGTGGCAATGACAGGCGCTGGTGTGGAAGAGAATGGAGCTTCTGAGTCAGACACAGATGACTGGGATTCCATTGGCAGTGATGAGCCCATGGCAGATTGTGTCTCACTTTATTCCACATAAAGCAACAAGAGGTATATTAACTAAGTTTGTAGAGTTGGATCACATTCCCTGTTACCTTTCAGAGAAACTGCTTAGATAGGATAAGACTTAACAGGGAAGTTTTGTAAGATTTTCCATGGCTGACAGTGTATAGTAATGTCAGCTGCTAAAAAAACATGACCTTTTTTGTGATAATTAGGAAAGGTTCCAAAGAGTGTATTCATGAGATTTTTCAACTAGTCAATTTTGAAAGGGATGGATGATTGACTTTGTATTTTGTGATATGTACAGCTGCCGTATATTGGATGATAATTAGGTAACTGGTTTTATTTTGAGTAGTATGATGTGTTGACATTAGATGCATATAACAGAAAAATATGAGTAGATATTTTTTCAGTTGAATATATATATTAATGTCTTGAGTTAATAGATAGCTGAGTTCCTGGAGATTGTATTGTATTTTATGTGACTAGACTAACAGAATTCATGCAAGCTATGATCCATATTTAGACAATGATATATATGATGTTTGTACTTCAGAGTTTAGTTGTCTGAGACAACTGTAAACTTACATGTATATGATAACATGTCTGTATTTGTAGTAATCACTATCCAACTGATACAAGTAATTAGTACAAGTTATTTAGGAACAGCAATACTGCTGTACTAAAGTGCATGGGATGCCATCCATTGTATACACAGACAGGATAAAATTGACAAAATCAAAAATGTTGGAGCAATGACATTTTCTGAGCTTTCTGTGCTAGTAATTTAGAGAGCATTTGCAAAGGTTTTAATAAATTCTCCCTTGTTCCATCTTTCATAAAACATATAACTATGAAAATGTGGGCTTTGTAATGCTTTAAAAAGTGTGTGAATTGTTTTGTAATTTATATAAATCTTGCTTGTCTTTATAACACACGCTTAAAAAAAAAATCCAAAAAATGCACTTGCAACACTTTATTAGAATTATAAACTAAGAATATAAAGTAATCATACTTTAGAGAACTGGTCAGTCTTTTACACCTAAGTTCTTCCAAGAAAACACAGCATAGGACTGTTTTTGCACAAGCAACATGGGACTATCTGATTGCATGGACCTATGTGTCATGACGCATTTACATTTTTTCCAGGTTCAGCAGGTATTCTAATCACTAGATTGTTTTAAAATGCATGTAGTTTCTACATCATTTGTAAATAGTATGCTTAAAGATGTTTACTTGTACATTCTTGCAAATACCATATTTTATGTATAAAGAAAATCTGCATGAAGAAACCAGCTATTGACTGTAAAATTCTTTGAATTTCCTATATGTGGTTCCAGCTGAAAGGTTGTGTTGTAGCTTTATTAGTAACAAATTTCTTATCTTTCATTTGTTTGACATCATGGCTAGCTAAAAGCATTAGGTGTTGGAAAGTGCTTCTCATGTATCCAGGCATTAATTGTAGATTGTAGACAGACATCCAACTTAAATAAAACCACTCCTTACAAAATAGGTTAATATGGACATGGAGGCAGACACGTTAGCAATATAGGGATCATTTTCAGATGCAAATGTTGGAAAGATGGAGGAACAGCTGATAAAAATTGTGTTAAAACTTGACTGGAGGAAATTTAATGGCACGTGAAGAAATTATATAAAAAGACGTTTTGCAGTTCAGTTTTTGTTATTATTATTGTTATTTTTTATGAGTGTAATTGGATCAAGAGTTGAAAGACACATGATTTAAGAATGTGTACTAAATAAAGATATAAATTATGCTTGACCTTGATTTTTCCAAACGAATGAATGTACTACTGCAAATGCATTTCATTGGGCACACCTCCCCCTTTAAACACAGACACACAGGCACGCACATGCATATACACACTTAAAGCCACATGCATAAGCACAAGTACAAGGACATGCATGCATAGGTACATATACACGGACAAGGACACGCATAGGCACATGAACAGGCTCGTGCTATTATACATGCACAAACAAACACAAACACAAACACAAACACAAAACACAACACACACACACACACACACACACACACACACACACACACACACACACACACACACACACACACACACACACACACCACACACACACACACACACACACACACACACACACACATATATATATATATACATTTGCACGTATATATATATATATATATATAATATATATATATATATATATATATATATATATATATATATATATATATATATATATATATATATATATATATATATATATATATATATTATATATATATATATATATATATATATATATATATATATATATATATATATATATATATATATATATATATATATATATATATATATATATATATATATATATATAATATATATATATATATATATATATATATATATTATATATATATATATATATATATATATATATATATATATATATATATATATATATATATATATATATATATATATATATATATATATATATATATATATATATATATATATATATATATATATATATATATATATATATATATATATATATATATATATATATATATATATATATATATATATATATATATATATATATATATATATATATATATATATATATATATATATATATATATATATATATATATATATATATAATATATATATATATATATATACATATTATATATATATATATATATATATATATATATATATATATATATATATATATATATATATATATATATATATATATATATATATATATATATATTATATATATATATATATATATATATATATATATATATATATATATATATATATATATATATATATATATATATATATATATATATATATATATATATATATATATATATATATATATATATATATATATATATATATATATATATATATATATATATATATATATATATATATATATATACATATATATATATATATATATATATATATATATATATATATATATATATATATATATATATATATATATATATATATATATATATATATATATATATATATATATATATATATATATATATATATATATATATATATATATATATATATATATATATATATATACATATATATATATTATATATATATATATATATATATATATATATATATATATATATATATATATATATATATATATATATATATATATATATATATATATATATATATATATATATATATATATATATATATATATATATATATATATATATATATATATATATATATATATATATATATATATATATATATATATATATATATATATATATATATATATATATATATATATATATATATATATATATATATATATATATATATTATATATATATATATATATATATATATATATATATATATATATATATGCTGCTGGACTGCTGGAGCGCAGGCTGGGAACGGGGACTACCCGTCTCGCCTGCGCTCTGGTGGCCGCCAGCCCAGAGTGAAGCTTGTGGGGGAAAGCCCTCGGGAACCCCACAGGTGGATGATGGGGCACGCAGCCCGCCACCCCTTTTATATGGGGCAGCGTCGGTGGGGTGGCAGAGGTGGCATCCACCCCGAGCGACTGCCAGAGGCTGAACCTCAGGCGGGAAGTTAGGGTGGGGGCTTGGAACGTCCGTTCTTTGCGTCAGGATGATCGTTGCCTCTACTGTCGAGGGAACTGGGAGGCTGAGAGTTGAGGTGGCTGCTCTCTCGGAGGTGAGGAGGCCTGGCAGCGGCATGACCTGTGTAGGTGGCTACACCTATTACTGGTCGGGCCGCAGCGATGGCCACCATCTCCAGGGAGTAGCCATTGCCGTCTCCAGCAGACTCCAGCCCTCGGTAGTAGAGGTTACTCCTGTTGATGAGCGTATAATGGTATTGAGTTTGAAGCTTTCTTTTGGCTTCATGTCTCTTATTGCTGTGTACGCTCCTACCGATGTTTGTAAACTTGACGTGAAAGAGATGTTCTACGCCAAACTTACATCTGTGGCAGACAGATGTCCCCGACGAGATATTCGCATTGTTCTGGGCGACTTCAATGCAGTATCTGGCTGTGATCGAGCTGGCTATGAAATGTCTGTCGGTCCCCATGGTTCAGGAGCTGATGCCGGTAGCGAGAATAGCCTCCTTTTCCGGGACTTTGCTAGGTCCCAGAAATTGAGGATTTCTGGCTCCTGGTACCAGCGCCCAGACCCACATGGTAAAGTGATGCGGGTAACGCAGCCAAGGAGATCGACCACATACTTGTTAGCACTCGTTGGAGGATCCTTCAGAATTGCAGGGTGTACAGGAGTGCTGAGTTCTGTGGTACTGACCATAGATTGGTTGTGGCTACCCTCCGGGTCCACTTCAAAACCCCCCAGCGGTCAAATGATTACCCTATGGTGTTTCATTTGGACAGGCTGAGGGAGGGGGAGTGTGCCCGCGGGTTTGCTGAGGCAATCTCTGATCGTTTCGCAGTGCTTGGCAGTCTGACAGACCCTGTTCTTCTGTGGGATACCTTTAAGCGTGAAACGCTTGATGCAGCTCAAGATACGATTGGTGTACGCCCGAGAGCAGTACAGAATTCCATCTTGCGGGAGACACTGGAAGCCACAGATGCATGTCGTGCGGCTCGTCTGACAGGGGATCGGGAATTGCACCGTTCTCATGTGCGCAGAACTCGGAACAGTTTATAAGGAGTCTTGCAGAGGAGGTAGAAGGCCATTTCTTAGTAAATGACCTTCGTCCTGCATACCAAGCCCTGAGAAAGCTGAACTCCAAGCCCTCTTCACAGGTGACAGCAGTTCGCTCAGTAAGTGGTCAGATCGTTTCAGATCCTGTTGCGGTGCGGGGACGTTGGGCTGAGTATTTTGAGCAGCTGTACCAGGTGGACCCACCAACAGTTAACTTGGATGCGGGTAGTGTCGAGATCTTGCTGCCAGATCCACCTATCAGTGAGGACCCTCCCTCCCTAACTGAAGTTAGGGAGGCGATTTCCAAGCTGAAGAGTGGTAAAGCAGCTGGTATCTGCGGCATACCAGCTGAACTGTTAAAGGCTGGTGGTGAACCTATGGCACGGGGGTTACATGCTGTCCTGGCTGCCATCTGGCAGTCCGGTTCCGTTCCTCTGACCTGTTGAGGGGTGTGGTCATCCCTCTCTGGAAGGGGAAGGGGGACCGTTGGGACTGCAGCAATCACCGAGGCATCACACTGCTCAGTGTACCAGGCAAGGTTCTCGCCCACATCCTTCTGAGACGTATCAGAGACCATCTACTGAGGCACCAGAGACTGGAGCAATCCGGATCCACTCCTGGTAAGTCCACAATAGACCGTATCCTCGCGCTTCGAGTCATTGTAGAGCGCCGTCGTGAGTTCGGGCGTGGGCTGCTCGCAGTCTACATCGACCTCAAGAAGGCGTTCGATACGGTGCATCGGGAGTCACTTTGGGAGATCCTGAGGCTGAGATAAACAAGGATTATTGGACTAATAGCAAGCCTGTATACTGGTACTGAAAGTGCTGTAAAGTGTGGTGGGGACCTGTCGAGCTTCTTTCCTGTTAGTTCAGGAGTGAGGCAAGGCTGTGTCCTTGCACCAACTCTTTTCAACACTTGCATGGACTGGATACTGGGCAGAGCTACTGTTCAAAGTCATTGTGGGGCAACGCTGGGCAATATCAAGGTTACAGACCTTGACTTTGCTGATGACGTTGCCATTCTATCTGAGTTTTGGAAACCCTAGTAGCGGCTCTCGATGCATTTAGCAATGAAGCGAAGCCCCTGGGTCTAGAGGTCTCCTGGACCAAGACAAAGGTCCAGGAATTTGGGGACTTGATAGGAGAACCTGTTCAGTCGGTACGTGCTTGCGGCGAGACATTGAAGTCACAGAGCTTTACATACCTTGGTAGTGTAGTTCATAACTCTGGCTGTCAGACCATGAAGTCAGCAGACGGATTGGCCTGGCAGCAGGGGTCATGAACTCTCTCAACAAGAGTATTTTGGAGATGTCGGTACCTGTGCAGAAGGACCAAGCTTCGGGTTTCAAGGCCTGATAATGCCAGTTTTGCTATACGGTAGCGAAGCCTGGACATTGTCCTGTGCCTTGGAGGCTCGTCTTGAAGCCTTTTGCAATAGGTCCTTGCGCCAGATCATGGGGTACTGTTGGCGGGACCATGTGTCCAACCAACGGTTGCACCGTGAGACTGGCACAAGCCCTGTTATCTGCACAATCCGTGATCGCCAACTCAGGCTATATGGCCACCTGGCTCGCTTTCCTCAGGATGATCCTGCCCATCAGGTCGTCTCTATTCGAGACAACCCTGGGTGGAGGAGGCCTTTGGGACGACCGAGGAAGTCATGGCTTGGGCAGATCGACCAAACCTGCCGTGAAGAACTAGAGATGGGCCGAGTCCTGCCTGGCGCCTAGCATTGAGGGATCCTCGTAGGTGGAAGCGAAGGGTGGATGCGGCTATGCGCCCCCGTCGGCGTCAGCCCCCATGATGATGATGATGATATATATATATATAATATTATTATATATATATATATATATATATATATATATATATATATATATAATATATATATATATATATATATATATATATATATATATATATATATATATATATATATATATATATATATATATATACATATATATATATTATATATATATATATTATATATATATATATATATATATATATATATATATATATATATAT